GTCAGCAAGTTTCTCAGAGGCTGGGTAGGAGTCAGCATGTTTTTCAGAGGCTAGGTAGAAGTCAGCAACTTTCTCAGAGGCTAGATAGGAGGTATCAAGTTTCTCAGGGGTTAGTTAGTTAAGAGTCGAACCAAGTTTCTCTAAAGGCAAGGTAGGAATAAACCATTAAAGTAAGATTAGCCACGTTTTATCTTCCGGTCAAATAGTTATAAAAGGCTAGGTAAGATCCGGAAAATTTAAACTAAGAAAGGGTCGGTTTCATATTAGCTTAGAGATTCAAATAAGAGTCAATAAGTTTCGGAGCATTGTGAACAGCTTGACTGAAACAGTGACTTCAGCTACGGACCATTGACGCCTTACAAAGACGTGAAACATTCTTTTGTTGGGCACCATGTGGCAGCTCTATAAAAAAATAAAAATCCTACATTACATGATCTATTGTTGACATTATTCAAGCAAATTTCTTTAACACGTCCAAAATGTTAGCATGTTTCCGTTCTGTTTATTGATTTATCTATATTATTGACAATGAAATGAATGGAGTTTTACGTCCTACTTTTCTGCACTCTATATTCTTGAGGGGCGTTACTTAAACGAAGGAGCATTTTTAGCTTTCTGAAGACACGTTATAAAATCCGCAAACTGTCTGATGTCACCTTCGGATTTTAGGAAAAACCAGACAATAAACCGAGACACTGTAGGCTGTGCATATTACGGATACCTAGACAGTTGATAATTGAAAAAGAGAAGGATAATACCGCATCGTCGGTCTGCAGTATAGTCTAACAAGGTGCAGAAAAGTAAGGAGTAAACCCCCACTATATTCCATTAGATCAATTGATCGACCATAACAATTCCTTTCAAACAAGAAGAACACCATGGGAATACAGACAAGTGTTTCGTCCTCTCTCTATTCCAATAAAACTCTATTGAAGTTAGCTAGTGAACTGATTGAAAAGTTAGGTATTGATCGTAAATTAGAAAATCGTAAAACTAAAATTACATGTTCGTAATTTTATTGGAAAATTATGGAAAGAAAAAAACATTAAATGAAATGTCTCGTGAGGTCGAAGAAGTCCATAGTTTATAGACAGCCATTACCAGAAGTACAGACATACACGCGCCGATTTTTTTAAGCTAATCAAGATAGGGCTAATGAAAATCTGATGAGGTAGGATAAGTCGATCAGATCTATTCCAGACATCCCAGCTGTAAAGAAGTCAAGTTTGATAATTGTCACGAATGTAGATATCTGCGGCATTCGGAAACTGTACAACTGAATCCACAAATCAAACGGTCTACCGTGAAAGTTTTGGTAGCGCTTTGGAATATATCCGAAACGGATTCAGATTTACGGAAGGCAGTTCCCAACTTTTTTCAGCCTTCACACCCCTGGAGCAATCACCTGGACCTTTCACACCCACAAAAATTTGTTTCATCCACATTTTCAGCATGTTTGTGTCTTCTGAAGCGTTTCTTCCATGTTTTACCAATGGTTTATCACCCAATTGAACCTTTGCGATGTGAATATAGTTGGTAGATTTTGAGTCATTTGAAGATTTTCTTTTCTTTTTGGCTTTCATTTTAACTTTTTTGTCTGAGCAAGTACGCTGTTATCGATTTTATTTTAAGTGAATTTGAATAAAAGCTTCAACACAGTAAGCTGAAATTTTTTAAAAATATAAACATGAGCACACATTGTCACCTTGCTCTTTGTTTCATACATGACAGTTTTCAGTATAGATAATCAGTGTTGTTTTGAAGCTTATATTCAAATTCATTCAAATAAAATGTGCAACAGTCGATATATCAACGAACTTGCTCAGACAAGATTATCAAACGAGCAGTCTATGCTGAACTATATTTATGGCTGCGGTTTTCACCCCCTGGAGTTGTGGGACTAGGGTGCTCGGGGTGTGGCCAACTGGTGTAGGAGAAGAATTTGTGCTTGAATTGAGAAAGCACCTTACATCAACGCATGAAAATGTGAATGAAACAAATTTTTGGGGGCGAGAAAGGTCCAGGTGATTGCTCCAGGGGTGTGAATGCTAAGAAAGGTTGGAAACCACTGATCTATGGTAATGTGAATATGGTACGGTAAACTTGGTCACCATTCAATACCGTGGTATGTGGCCGAACACTAGTGGAACTATCACGGTAGAACGATTGTATCTGTGAGTGAAAGCTGAATAAACTAAAGTAATTGTTATTTTTTATCTCAGTTTTTCTCATAGCCTGATTACTGAATCATTCCATTAAATTCAATATTTTAATTAAATTTTTCAATATTCTCATACTGTAGTCTATATTACATGTCGCTATCAGGCTCTGTTAGCCAAGCATGAGACATGTTATTCTACTAGAGACATATTAATACAATTTATGTCAGATACCATCAAACTAAAATTCATAGGAGGAATCAAGTACTGATTCAGCGAATGAAAAAAGAAACTGAAAGTTAACGATAGCACAATTTCATTCTTAACATATTAATACAATTTGTGTTATCAGCCTCCGTTAGCCAAGCATAGACTGGCAAATGAAGACATACAAATACAATTAATGTCAAATATACAGATAGCATGAAAATAAAATGCGAGGAATCAGTGAACGAAATTAAACAAACTGAAAGCTAACAATAGGACAATTCTGTCTTTTGTCTTATAAATTGGCATACAGTTTAAGGCGACCTTCATGTTCGAGAAGCAGATCTAAACAGGCTGCTTGCTTTGTCGAATCAGTTGTATCATTAATATCGTAACTTTGTTTCAAAGAAGACAATTGTAAGTCAAGATTATCAGTACTGTTTTGAAGCAGGCTGTCTGTTTTGTCATCAGGTTATATATAATGTTGACTAATGATTCCAAGAATATTTTCTTAACTTTCCAACATGCTTGAAGGTAAAATTATCATACATTATTAATTTCATCTCGTGGAATAAAACGAATTGTAGGTGTTACTGTCAAACTGAACAAATATATTGTCAATTAAGAAATTAAGCATTTGAATAACTTCGCCTACTGTGTAATCCTTCACAAAATAAAATTTAGAAGAAAAAGTTTCAACGATTGCTAACAACTGGTGTCTGGGTTTCACCAACGACGAAAATCGCAG